CCGCCTAAACTGTCTTAATATGATTGTAGTATGATATACCCTAAAACCCTATTCTAACTATTAAAGGCCCCTAAAATGTACCCCGAAGCCTTCAGCCGCCGAGGTTCCTGAGAGTTCCCTCTTCAATCCGCTCCAGGCGCCTGCTTTTCCCTCTTACCACCGGGGGCGTCCGTGCTTTTGTTGGCTTATCTGGCATTCTTTAGGGTTTAGGGGTTTCGGGTTTAGAGGTTTGGGGTTTAGGGTTTAGGGGTTTAGGGTTTACGGTTTAGGGGTCTAGGGTTTACGGTTTAATGGCTCGACGACACGACTTTGGGATCCGACTCCTGTTGCCCATGTGTCCGCGCTTATGTAGTCCTTTGTCCGGGTTGTATGGCACACACTCCGGAGCAACCAGCCTGCTATTCTGGGATTGCTGCGATGGATGGATGGATGGATGGATGGATAATTAGGAGTAAGCATAATCATAATCATCAGCGTCAGAATATCAATCTGAATAATCCTGACGGTGGTACTAGCATCAACAGCGATACTGAACATGAGCTTTCACCTTGAGTTCGATTCGATCCATAAAGGCCTTGTGCGAGGTAATGATCGAAACCAAGCAACTGGTGCCTGCCAGCTTCGAGCAAAGCTCAATTGGGTAGGGAATCGGTGTTCAGGTTTTAGGGTGTGAGTTTGAACATCGCATGCATGCAGAGTTTAGGTCAATGTGCAGAGTGTAGGGATGCGGATTTAATCTAGGCCCCAGTTCCTGAAGCCTGCGGTCAGGGCCGGCAGCTGGACATCAGTAGTCAACGCAGTATTAGTGGTCATCGCAACGACCGCAAAAGCATCATTCGCAAGTATGATGACAAGGGCTGTACTTGCAGATAGAAACTCTCGATACAATCGCCATCCGCCACCGTAGCATGAACAAAAGCATCGCACTGGTAAGTTTAGAACTTCTGCAGTATGTGTTTGGGGCAACAGGAAGCCAGCAGTTGTATTCTCAACCTGTCATAGGAATGATAGAGCACCTACTGAGACAGAATCGAAAAAAAAGAAACAGCGAAGTCGCTACAGCTGACAGAGCCGAATTGAAATGCCGAGCCAGTCGTCATCTTAAGCATAGCATGAGAGTCTCAGTAGCTCTGCTTGCAGTAGTTCCTGTCAACAGGAATTCTCGTACCAGTATAGAAGCCTGACTAGTTACCAATATTCTTTCTCAAGGCTCCTTGCTATAAGGAGGCCCTAAGAGGCCCCAAGACCTCTTGTAAATCGTTGAGGTGCCTGTCTTATCCAAGATCAGAGCTACACCCTCGCTATCATACCACATTGTGTACTGGGCGCCTACGCGCCCGCTGTTTTATTGGGAGTTTCAGAACCGTCGGACTCTGATGTCAGAAACCCCAAGCTCCTAAGCCCCTTAGATAGCTCTGAGGCTTAGAAGTAGGAGTTTAGGAGCTTATAGGCCTTCGGGCCTAAGCCCCATACCCCTAAGCTTCTAAGCGGACCCAAAGTCTCTGCAGGTAGCCCTGGCGAAGGGCGAGGCGGAGCGCTTAGGCTTGGGCCCGGACATGGGAGAGGCTGGGACCGGTTTGGTGTGGGACTTTCGGGGTTTTAGGTGACTTGCGGGTTCTATTTAGGAGTTGAGGAGTTTAAGGTTTAGGAGTTTAGGAGTTTAGGGTTTAGAAGTTTAAGGAGTTTAGGGTTTACAGTGGTTGGAGGTTATGTGTCCTGTCGTTCACCATTGGATTCCACACTCCAGGCATGTTAGAAATTCTGGATGTACCTTTGTCCCAAACCCGACTGAAATTAAACTCGAAGGCAGGCAAGAAGCCGGACCTGCACCAGCTGGCCACGGACTCGGACGCCTGGGCAATGCTAGGTGCATATGGCATACATAAGGAACTGTGTGTGTGTATATATATATATATAATAAATACGGAAAAAATAAGTAAATGAATAAATCAATTAAATCAATATAAATAAATATAAATAAATATAAATAATCAATAAATACATATTTATTTATGTATCTCTCTCTCTCTCTATATATATATATATTTATTTATTTATTTACACATGCAAACGTACGCTGTGCAGTGCAATATCTACTGTTTAATATGAGGAAGGAGGAAAGGCTGAATAGGAGTGCAGTGTTTCTTTTCCCTTCTGCTTTTGGGAATGACCTCCTGGTGTTAGTAGCAGCTTCTGGGGGCGCCCTCGGCCCCGACAAGCTGGTTTGGCCTTGAAGCCCTAGCCTAGAAGGATAGCTTCGAAGGCGGTCGGTTTGACTCTGCATCTTGTCAGACATTTTTGGGTGGTGATCTTGCCCTTGCGGGTCTTGCACAAGCCAACTACCATGCTCTGTTACGGCGGATGCTGTTACGGCGGATGCTGATCCTCGATAGTCCGGGATTGCACTGGTGAAGCCAAGTTGGTCGCGAGTTGTCTTTGCAAAGTGCTGGTATAGTTATGCTCACCACTACCTGTGCGTTTATTGGAAGTATGAAGTGCTCGTGTCTGCCTCTGTGATTTTGGGTTTGTTGTATTGTATTGTTTTGTATTGCATTGTGTTGTATTGTCTTCTATTCTAGCTGCGTTGCATTGCAATGCATTGTTTTATCTGTCTGCCTGTATGTATGTATGCGTCTATGCTGTCTGTCTATGCCAACACTGGAAGTTTTGATGAGCTTAAAAAAGCACCCTTATAAAGGAACCCTTAAAGAGGACCCTTGTAGATCCCTCAAAAAAAGCACCCTTACAAAGGAACCCTTAAAGAACTTCAACCAGAAGATGCTTTCTCGCTCCGTTGAGGCCACCAGCGCAAGTCTGCTGCCTGTCCGGACGCTGGTGGACCTGGTCAAGGAGCCTGAACCTGGATTTCAATAGCTAAGGCTTTAGGGTTTAGGGTTGAGGGATGTTTAGTAGCCTACTAGTCCTTTGCAGCAAAACAGCGCCCTGATGTATTTGTCGCTTGCAAGCACCCAGAGCAGCGAATTGTCCAGACAATCGTACCACGATGCTCCCCTCCAGCTATCCCCAGTCTTGTCGTTGCTGCCCAGTACGGTATACCAGACTGCGTGACGTAGCTCCAGCAGGTTGCTTTCTGAATCCCGGAGCGTTCGTGAGATTCGTCATCCTGGGATTCACATGCATCTCTTCTTACTTGACCACTCATGGCCACTCTGCTCTTGTCACGCTTGGTCTGGAGTCGCACGCACTGGCAACCTTCTGTTCCAAGTCGCTGTGCCGTCTTCCGGTGCTGCTGTCTTTCGGCCAAGAAGCGGCCTCGTNNCAGCATTTGTGTTTCAACACAAATTCAATTAATAAGTATTTGCAAGACATCCCCCCTGTGCAGCCACCTCGATCGTCCTGACCATGCGTCGCTTTACGCCCGAGTTCACCAACCCTGTTGTAATTGACGGGCAATCTGAATCCCGAAAAGGCCCCCTTTTATAAAAGCCCCCTTTCGCCCTTGCCGATTTAGGGTTTAGGGTTTAGGGTTTCGGGTTTAGGGTTCAATTCTTCCGTACACCCAAAGCCCTCAACTAAGTTGCTCTCTGCTCTAAGCCCTCTTCTCCTACAGGAGGGGCAGCGGAAATCCGGGGGCTTCAAGCAGAAGTGGCAAGCGCCTCAGAGAGGTAACAGCTCGCATTGGCCACAGAGCCTTTGGCCGGATGTGGCCCTACAAAAGCTAAACATGGCTCCCCGAGTGTTTCTTCTGCACCCTGTGCTTGTATTGCCTGCATGGGTGAAATTTGTCGCCGACGTCATCGCGTTGTTGTCGTGGTGGTGGTCGCCGTAGTCGTGGTGGTGGTCATGGTGGGTCGTCGTTGTCCGTTGTCTCGGAGGTGGGTCGCTTTGGGTCGCGTGCGTCGTGCGTCGTCGTCGTGATGTTCTCTTCAGGTACACTGTACCTTCATTGTTCATGCTACTGATGCGGTCTTGTCTGTGTTTCAGCATCGTTGTCGCTGTCCAATCAATCTCTCAGAACAAGTATGCGTTTGTTTATCAATGTCAGTGTCGTTTTTTCTTATCATGTAGCACCATCATCGGCACAAGCTACTCTCCTGCTTATTCTCACCATCATATTGCCATCACCAACAGCACCACCGCTGCCGTCATCATATAAATCTTCCTCCTCCTCTTTTCATCAGCATCAGCATCATCACCATCAACATCATCATCATCATCATCAGCATCATCATCAGCATCATCGCCATCATCACCATCATCATCAGCAGCATCATCGCCATCTGTCATAATAACAGTAATAATATTAACCATCATCATCAGCATCAGCATCATCATCATCATTGTCATCATCATTAGCATAATCATAAGCATCATCGTCATCATCATCATCACCATCATCAGCAGCAGCAGCATCACCATCTATCATCATCACCATCACCATGTCGTTTCACAATCGGTGCGGTTGCCACCAGCAGTTTGCAGGGATCCTTTGTCGTGAACGGAGGCGAAGCTTCTGCGAGTTCGCCAAGACCCAGGGAGTCAAAAGTAGCCGACCGTCGCAGCCTCAGCGACTTTGGGCAGACGGGACTAACCGACTAACGTAGGACCACAGCGAAACTAACCCTCTTAACCTACAGTAGCCTTATCCGGCGGCTCTGCGGGGCGCAGCAAACCTGGACGAGAAGCTGTTTGGCAGAGTTGCGACTCTGGCCGCCTTAATGAGGCGCTTGCCAGGAACACATGCATCACCTCTCAGCATGTCATCCGTAAGCTGTGAGTACCCTGAGACGTGGCATTTCGGGTAGCCGAGCAGACCAGAAGCTTGCAGTAAATTGACTTGCTCTTGCATCTAAGCCATCCCGACACCCCCTTTAGAATTCTGTAATATGCTAGTGTTATCATAATCCTGTTCCTGTTCCTCGCGGACTGAAGTGCCTATAGAGGCGCGTCCCAAAAATGCAACTGTACAAGCAAACGGAAAATAATTCAAAGTCGAGAGGGTCTCTGAAGCCAGAAGTCAGGGCAGCCTGTACGGGGACCCTCGGAGGAGGCAGCATCAATGAAGTCCATAACTTGTGCAACAACCCCTGGAGGGGGCCGGTAGACCCTGCCCAAATCGGCCAGGGTCAGATCATCCTCTTGTAGTCCTTGAAGGCGCTCGGCGGCTATGGGTAGCCGCGGCCCATACGACTGAGCAGAAGGCCGAGCGGCGACATAATGCTGCCATTGTCCCTTGCCTACTTTGCGTTTAGTTGCTGCATCAGCGCCTTCGACAGCTCGCAATTCGGCAGGCGACATAGGCGGCAACACATGCACAACTCTGGTGAGGCAAGGAGCAGACCTCTTCAGGTGGTACTGAAGACGATCAACAGTGTGATAGAACTTCAAGCAGGCCTGACATGTGGCGTCGGGAGTAAAAAACCGGACTGGACTAATCAAGCCATGCCTACGAGCTTCGTGCAAAGCTTGATGCTTACGAAGCACAAAGGAAGCATCACACAACCGGCATTGGAACGGCCGTCCCTGAACGAGGGGCAATGGCGCTTCAACATCACCGGTGGTGCTTCCTACAGTGCTATGTGAGTGGGTTTGGCCGGCCCATTTCTCAAGGTCGTCCCCGTACTGGCGAATGGCACATTTGACCTGCCGCAACCACCACGTGGCATCAGCTTGAATCGCCTCGACAAGTGCCGTCACAGAGCACGAGGAGTCCAGGACAACTTGCGCAGCTGGACAATACACCGCCACGGCTTGCACATCTCTGGCAAACATGCCAAGCCAAGAGTGTTGAGGATCCGTTCGCCAGTGAACATGCAGTAGGTGCAGCAGCGTGCTTGGACCATGCTTGAGCAGTCGCTGCAACAGCACCCCACGCATGAGGGCCACTGCCAAAGGTGGGGAGGGCGCCTGCGCCAAGCGGAGGACATGAAAGCTGTGAGGTTGTTGGTCAGGGCGAGACCATTTGCACAGGCCTCGCCATAGTCTGAGATACGCCCTGTCCCAACTGCGTCGATGCAGGGCTGTGTGCAATGGTATGACAGCACCGGCAAACACAAAGCGCGAGACAACCAAACTGCGCAAAAGGGTGCGTCTCAGGGTTAAGGGAATGGCCAACGCCGAGAAGAGCCTGCGGTGCAATGGTCGCAACATACCTAGGGCTTGAGAACTCCGAAACGAGACCTCAGCCGCCGGAACACCGTTGGCTGTAAGGATGCCACCGAGGTGCCGGTAGGAGTCAACAATAGGCAACAGATGGGTTGAACCCAGTAAGCAAACTCCAAGCTCCGGATCCCGGAGGACCTCACCTCGGTCGGCCAGTGTACAGTCAGACGAGAGCAATACAGCCGTCTTGTCCCTGGCAAAGGAAACTTCCATACCCGCTGACGAGGCTTGGGAGACCAAGACCTCGGTAGCCGCCCGGGTGCGTGCGATCAAACCGCCAACCTCCCTGGACACCTGGAGCATGACGTAATCATCGGCCCAGGAGGCTATGCCCACCTGGCGTACTGGCTCCCAACCGCACCACGGGGCCGAAACTGCTGTCTCAGGGCAGTAAGTCTGCAAATCAGCGGACTGAAGAGCTTGTTCTGCACTGCGTACATACGCAGAAAAGGTGAACGCGAAAAGCAAATCAGCGAGCGGGTCACCAGGACGGCTCCCACGCTGGGTGAGTACCAACGCAGACGCGCCGTCGAGCCTAAACCACGTGCCGCGCAACAAGTCTGTGACAAGTGCGGTGAGGTGTGGCCCGGCCCCAGCAGAGACAATGTACGCGGCGCGGGAAAGCTGCTCAAACAGCTCCTCCAAGGCAGAGGGAGGAATCCCCAACCCGTGCAAGAGCCGAAGCAACACAGCATCACTATCTTTGGACGGGACAAGGGCCTGTCGCAACACCATGTAAAACGCCGCTTTAATGTCGAAAAAGACGGCTGCCGAATGGTGTCCCGTCTTACGTGCCCAGGCTTGGTAAGATCGCACCACCAAGGAAATGCTTTCAACACCTAGCCCCGGGATCTGTCCAGCCTGGAGGTCTCCCCGAACATTGGCGAACGCGCCCATCAACTTGTTTCGCAAAATGCGATGATAAAGTTTGCTGGGGACACTGCTGAGAAGAATAGAGCGGAACGCCTTGCAGTCAAAAAGAGCTGCCGCCCTCTTGGCCAAGCACATAAGCGCGCCCCCACGCCAAGTGGTGGGTTCTTGCAGACACATGGCAGTCTTGAGATACAGCGGATAGAGCCATTGCGACGTGAGAGCGGGCTGTACCCGGAGAAGCTCACCTGTGACGCCGTCCGGTCCCGCGGCCTTGTCGAAAGGCAAGCCCAAGATTTGTTGCTCCAGCTCAAACAGGTCAGGCAAGGCCTGATGGTCAAAGACCCAACCGTCCGGAGTGGGATCAAGAGTACTGTCTCGGAAATGGCCTGCATAGTCGGCAATTGGAATGACTTCCCCTGCTTCCTGGGCCGAAAAGTAAGCTGTCCAGCGGTCGGCTCTTTCCTGTGGGGTCGTGGCCAATGTCCCGTCCTCAAGTCTCACTGCCGGCAATGGTTGAAAGGCAGCACGTCGGGAGGACCGGGCCTGTGGAAAGGCCTTTCGCACGACCTGATATAGCTGCTTGGGGTGCTGCAAATCCTGCAGAGAAACCTTATCTGCAAGAGTCTGCAAAAATGCAATTCGGTCCCGACGAACGGCAGTGCGGACAGACGTGGACAGCCATCCAAGCATGTCCCAAGCCCGCGCAATGCTCCTGTGTATGTCTTGCAGCCACGCCTGAGCCAAAGTAAGGGCATGGGGAGTAAAAGCCCTGCCCTCCCTGGCAAGCACGAACGACGCAAACCCTATAAGGAGCCTCCGGCGGCGAAGTTCGCGTTCTTCCGCCCGTAGGTACCCTCTAACCGCGGCACGTCTATGCACCAGTGCCAGGGTGTCCGGGGTGAGGTATGGCTGACGTGGCCGTGTGGTTGACGAGACCTGAAAGATGGCCCCAGCGTCACACAGGGCAGAAGTGACATGCCGACAATGAGCGTCGACGGGTACGTCCCATCCCGGGGCACCACTTGCGCCGAGTGCTACACTAAAATGCTGCACCTGTTGCCATTGAAGGTCCCGTGGAGGGCGCTGTGCAACACGGGCATGCACGGTATACTTGTTCGCCGGAGCTAGCCTGCCAAAAACCGCAGTCAGGACAACTGGGTAATGGTCATCACGGGCCTGCAGGGCCTCGAAGTCGGTCCAAACTTTGGACTTAAGCTCGAATGTGGCCCATTCTTGAGGGACACACACGAAATCCAGTCTGTAACGAGCATCATCGCCTCGTGCTGCTATCCAAGTCCACGACTGCCCAGAATGGAAAGTGGAGAACGTAGATGGGGCGAACAACTGATTGTGCAGCAAGAACCCATGAAAAAGCTCACCAGCCTCATTTTCATCCTCTGGATCGAGGCAACCAACGGCATCTGTCTGGACTGACCCAACATGGCTGTTGGAGTCAGTCAGCACAATGTGCACAGAATGTGCCGGTCTGGTGGCAAGTTCCTGGGTCCGCTTGGCCCAAAAGTCCCTTGCTGTGTGTCCATCTTCCAGAAATCGCGGGCAATTGCTACCAGGATGGTGAGGCTCAGTCTGGGGGCCTCAATCTGCACTTGGATGTGACGCGGCGAGAGACTCGTGACGACAACATGGCTACGTTCCAGCCGAAGTGGCCGGGAACCATCATGCGCATAGGGAATCGAAAGGCTCAACCAAAGCGAGCAACCATAGGAGCCCGCATCTGTGGCAGCTGAGTTGAGGATGTAAAAGTCCTTGTCAGGTAGCACGGCTCCCGTCGGGAGACGAGTTTCTTGAAGGCCTGCGACCCACACTTTGTGACGTAAAAATTGCTCCCGTAGGAGATCTTTTTTACCTGAAACCAACAGGCCGGCCTGCGGCACTCTGTTTTTGCGTCCCTTGGGTGCGTCTGAAGTAAACATGGACAACACATTGAGGGACACAAAAGTCAGGTCATAATAAACCTGAATGGCGCGCAAATTGATCTCCTTGAGACCTGCTGTCGGGGGGGTGACCTCAGTGCGGACCCGTTCTTGCAGCCTGCATGCCTCGGCTTCCATGGCGGGAAGGTAGGGTAACTGTGCCGAGCTGTGATGTGCCATCCAGCCCCATCTTCGCAGGGGATGGGCGGCCCACTGGCTGGGCCACTCCGGAAGACATCTATCATAGATATCTTCAGGGTGACGTCGTGCATGTTTGGCAAGCTGATCGGCGAGTTCGTTTGGCAACGAACCGGAATGTCCTTTCACATGACAATGTCCAACGGGTAACCGCGCGGACAGTGCCTGTCGAAGAAGTGCAACGAACTCCGGCAGGGAGGAAGATCCGTCCGCCAAGTGGAGTTTGGGAACACGAGAACTGCAAAAGGCACCGCCGCCAGCAGACTGAGAATCGTAATAGAAGAAAATCGGCACGCCATAAGCGGGTCCGAATTCTAAGGCCCAACATTGTGCCCAAGCTAGGGCCAGCAACTCGGCTTCCATCGAATTGTCAGCTCCCTCTCCCAAAAAAAACGGTGTACCTGGAGGAACACCAGTGTGGGCACTGAACCCTAGGAAAAACCGACCTTCGGGCGTGGCAGCCCAGACTGTGACTGCCCAGGCGGCTGGGTGAAGCGATCCCTCTCTAACCTGGCCCCCATCTGCAGACCCGTCGGTGAAGACTGTGTTATCATAATAATAATAATCTGTTACAGTATACGATCACATACCATAATATGCAAGACTCTACCAGAGTATGTTGTAGTACTCTACAGTATACTGTAACATACCACGAAAGCTACATTAAGCTACAGTACACCACAACATACAAAAATGTATTACCCATCATCCCAAGCCATCTAAGCGAGAGGCCCCAGATGCAAACCATGCCCTGCAGCCCTCACCGCCTGGTAGCTGACGGTCAACCCTAAACCCTAAACC